ATGGTTCCATACAATGAAATTTTTGTAAAATATGTTTCCATAAGATCTGTATTTCACATTGGATAAATAATGTAGCTATCGTTTCTTTGAAATAAAAAAAGAAGCTAAATCTGTTTACCCTCAGGCTGTTTCTTCTTACCCCGTCTATGGGACAAAAAAGAACAAATTACAAATTTTAGAAAAATAGTAAATAAACATATTTCTATAATTAGGAGTTAACTGGTAATCTTATTGAAGATAGTTCGATAGTTTTTTTGTTTGATAAATGGAATGTGTTGCCATGTAGTTCATTTAGTTTAGATAGACCATAGTTTGCCAAACTTGTTTGTGTCGTAGATCTCTGACACTGCGCCATGAACCCCCTAATTAGTCGATATCGTTTTTTTATAAACTTATATTTGTACTGAGGTTTAGAATTAAATATTTAAAGTATATATACTAATTTAAATTTGGACATTTATGAATTGATTTCATAATAATAATAAAATAAATATTAACAAGATGTGTTGTTGTCCACTATCGTAAATCTCTATAATTAATCTCTAATCCTGTTCCTTGACGTGGACCCCTTGAAAGTTTTCATGGACCCCTGGGGGTTTATATGGACATCTCTAAACAGAGAGTATAATTACTGAAAGTCAAATTAGACCTATGCGCCTCGCTTTACCCTACAATAAATAGTAAATTTAATGAAAATAAATAAACTTTTATGTGATAATATTACTTACAATTAGATGTATGTATTATATGTTACAATTATCAATTTTCTCGGTACATTATGTGTCACAATTATCACATAAATAGTTTATTACACAATAAATATTAAGATTTCTATTGAAAATATTTAATTAGCGTCATGAGAGCACATTTTTCTAAATGAGCCGCATAATTGCATTAAGGGAACAAAATTAATTTAAAGCAGGTATGCAATTAGCTTTTATTATGCAATGCTCTACATTTCTGTGAGGATGCCAGAAGATTTGATATATATATATATATATATATATATATATATATATATAATATATATATATATACATGCACGTATCTATACATATATTTACGTTTACTATAATCACAGCAAAAATTTTATTAAACTTTTAAACATTTATTTTATTATTATTTCAATTATATTTCTCTATTATATTTAATTATCATATCAATTTATTAGCAAATTTTGATATCATGCAATTTATGGTAATAACCAGAATCAGATTTGTTTTTCCGAATCAAAATCAAAATCAACATGTTGTATAACATAAAATTGTACTATCATAAAATTTTTTAGACTAATTTTAAATTTTATATGAGTTTATATGAGTTGTTTTGTTTCAATCAATCTTTGATAAAGTGTAACAATTTTTCTGATTGCTATATTTTTTAAATAGTTATCTTGATAAATGTGAAAAACTCTATATATATATTATGGGTACAAAATAAACAATATTTAAGTATAATAAACAATATTTATCACAATTGCAAAGACTAATTTCAAATCCTCGATTACACACAAATATTCATACTTTAGAATCCATGCTCCAAAAGTAGTAAAAATTTACTTAATCAGCGGAATGAGAAATAAGTAAATAAATAAATATACATATAAGTATATATACATATATGTATATATATATATATATATATATATATATTCAAAGCAGCAGCATTAAAATATGCTGCCATCTCTGCAGGAGCTTTAACAGCAAAAGCTCACTTATTAACCATTTGCACTAAATGCGTTCTATTTCTGAACGAAATACGTTTATATTCCTAATCATACAAATGCTTATTTATGTATGTACATTTACTAATTTTTATATCAAATTTAAGAAAAATATACATTTAAACTATGTATAAATAATACATAAAGTTATATGTTTGCGTTTTTGTAAATCTCACGGTATAAAATTTATCAAATTAATATGATAAATTATGAGAAACATATCAAATTATATTATATATAATACATATAATAAATTGATAAATTATTTAAAATATTTGAGAATTAGGCTAATATATTTTGAATTTATTTCGCATATCCATGAAGAATATTTTTTTAATAAGCTCAGTAGAACAAAGTCTCTCAAATGTCGACAAAAAGTCAAATTTTGGCTTATATGCACACAGGCACATACAGATTTTCTTATATTCGAGCCAGGTGATTCAGAATGACTTGAAGCGTCGAGAAAATGTGAAATCATCAAATCGGATTTTCCAGGAGGCAAAGAGATCCAACGACTTTACAATTTTAAAGAACAATGTGAAATAAAAATTTTATGGACATATTTTTTACAAAGATTTCATTGTATATAACCTTGATATTGCATTCCAAAAAAAATATTCATTAACAGAGGTCAAAAACTATTTATTGCATTTATTTCTTGTAAAATTAACTTAATTATTGGGATAAGATGGAATTTTTTAACTTAACTTACTTGCTATTGGGTTAATGATGAAATGACCTTTAAACACCGCTTTACCCTAAATGAGAATAACTGATTTTTATTTGAAAATTAATCTGAAAAAAAATAATGAAGAAAAATTCAAAATTAGCATCATAGTTTATTTCCAAAAATTTTGACTATAAAGTTAACAAGAACCCTACTCTAATGAGTCGTAAAAAATTATTAACTTGTCGTGGAATAAGTTATAGTAATCGCAAAAAAAATCAGAAATGAAATTGTTTATATATCTTTACGTTTTAAACATTTTGGATTACCTTAGAAAAAATGGATGTATGTGTGTGTATGTGGATACAATTTTTCAATGATTCAAAAAACATTCGATTTCTATTGATAAAGAGACGTGCTGATTAGTTTTTGGCAAAGGCAGGTCCGGCCATTCCGAAGATACGGGACAAAAAGCGCCAAAAATGGTAATTCAATTTTTGAGAGAGCGGAGCGTCCGATATGAATGATTCAAAAAACATTTTTGTATTGACGAAATGAAGAAAACTGATGAAGGCAAATCTAACAGTTTCCAAAAAAATGCTATTTGGCGGATAAAAATGATCATTTGACATATGCATATCAAATTATCTGATATTTTAATAACAAAAACAAATTTTGTTTATATTTCTATGGGTATCAATGTTTATCCGTTAAACTGCAACGCCGCGCTCACGCGCTTTGATATTTCGTTTCTACGTAGCTAACGTAGCTTTGAATAAAAGTTCAAAATTTCCAAAATATTTCAAAGTACAAAAAAAATTAAAATTTTTCAAAAACGTCAATTTTTGCAAAAAAATTAAATTCTCAAATATCTATTTTTTTCAAAGTTTTATTTTTTTTTAATTTTTGGTACGGGAAGTTCCAGCAATTTGCCTTAAGGCACGATGCCATGCACCACTAGTTTTTTTTATCCCATTGATTTAGTAAAATCGTGTGTTGCGTTAATTTCAGTGTCCGAATGTAAGCCGATAATATATTTTTAGTTATTCGAAAACATGAACGCGTTTAGCGTTCGCATTTGTATTTTATGGTTATGAGAGTCTTGCTGCTCTTCTCGATTCTCGATTCCCCGAAATAAACGTTCTCGAATAATAATGTAAACGATATCAAATACGTACGAAATTTGCTCCTATGCAATAAACTGTTTAATATCGAGATAGAAAACGGATTTATTTACGATCTTTCATACAGAATTCGACCGAAAATTTAGCGATTAACCAGATTGTAAATGAAATATAATATAACTGGTATAAAAACTAATAAAACCGTCAGCAATGGTAAGAAATCATATGAACTGTTGGTTGTTCAGTAGTATAAATTCTTTGACATTTTTTTGTGTTATTTGATAAAATAATTGTGTGTTATACAGTTATACAATTATCTTATAATATTTCTAAAATAAATAATCATTCTGCAGAAGCCTGCAAAACATGTGGTTTTAAATGCACTTATTAGTTTGTTGCATAAACAACAAATTCTTAGCATTTTCATAAAATTTAGTACAAAATTGCACAAATTATTCATTTTGTATATCAAAATATTTCTATTAATAGTTTTTTTATGTGTAGTTTGTATATATAGATAAATGAGTCTTGTATGTGTTGTTTTTAAGCTTCGAATAACGAATCCAATAGCTAATAAAAAACCAACGAGTTTGAAAAAAAAATTTTTATTTTTTAAAAAACTTTGATTTTTTATTACTCATTGATTCCTTCTTCGAGCTTAATATACATATGATGGATATAGTAAATAAGATAATATGATAGATTTCCCATTGCCGTTTCACATCGCAGTGCCCGAAATGGGCTATTTCAATTGAAAACATAGTTTTTGTGTGTTTAGTGTGTATATATACATATTAGGGTGGTTCTTAATATGGACATTTCCGAATTTCCTTGCTCCCAATGGCTCAAATGGTTCTAAATTAATAAAAAACAATTCTCTGAAAGTTTTAGCTTTTAATATTGTCTTTTAGATAGAGCGCAATTCAATCAAAGTTTTGTATCTATGGGATAGCATAAAAAAAATTTCAAAAATTTTAAAAATGTTTTTTTAGATATAATTTAGCGAACAAATGAATGAGTTTTCTCGAATAAAAATCCTGTTTTGCAGAGCGTCGAATTTTCAATAAAAAATGAAATAAATTTTCACTTTTAATTCATTTGTCGCTAAGTTATACCTAAAAAAACATTATAAAATTTTTGAAATTTTTCCAATCTATTTGAATACGAAGCATTGATTGAATTGCGCACTATCTAAAAGACAATATTAAGAGCTAAAACTTTCAGAGGATTTTTTTTTTAAATTTGGAAGCTTTTGAGCCCTTCGTGGCAAAAAATTTGAAAATGTCCATATTAAGGACCACCCTAATATATATATATATATATATATATATATATATATATAAGTTAGATTTGTTAATTGTTACTCTATCCCCGTTGAAATTTCTGTATCGCAATAAAAGACTAAAAATTTAATATCTAAACGTAGATAGAAATATTTATTAGAAAAATGAATTAAAATTTGACATAACCATATTAATCACATATACATTATAAACATGTAAAAGTCGTGTTAGGTGTACGTGTATGTGTTATATAAATAAGAATGTGTGTGATGTGTGTCGAATGCTGGTGTGTTTTTTATCCTGGTCAAGCAGTTTACTTTCCCAAGAGGATTTTACGTCCGGCACCAAGATTTTGTCCGGCTTGTGTGGCACCCTTGTTGGAACCAGCCTGTAAACCAATGATGGTTTGTCCAGCTTTCAATTGCTCCTCGGAAAACTCGCGCTTGCATTCGTCAGCGGGTTTGGGTCCCAAGTATGGGCCGCTCCATTCGGGGTGTTTGTAGGTCTAAAGAAATAATTGACAGGTAAAAAACTAGTTCGTGAGGTTAAATTGTCCAGTATATGTAGATATTTACCTGTCTGCCCAAAGCGAACAAGGTGCTGGTGACTTGGGCAAGATCTTTCTTTTCCCATAAGTCAACAGTTTGGAATACATCAATATCAGCTACACCGTATTCTTTCAATGCTTTCTGGAACCTTAAATATAAAATCATCCACATAAACAACCTGTCTATTACATATATTTTTCCATAAAACAGTCAATATACTTTTTGATCAACTTGGTTTACAGTACAAAGTCAATAATATACTTAAAACCAGAAGTTGATTGTTATTATCAATTTAGTCTATTACTTACATGTTGATGTTTTCCATCATTTTGAATTGTCCACCGCTTGTGTTGATTTTTGGGACTGATCCAGGGGACAATTTGTTCATCAATTGGCACAAAACGGTTCCATCTTTCAACACATCCTCATACAATTCACCTGGTGGGAACTTTGCTCCCAAGACGGTTTCCATCCATTCTTGGGCTTCGCGTTCCTGCTCTGGGTCGCGTTTGCCTGCGAGCTAAAGGTAATAGAAATATTATAAAAAAATATTGATGATGATGATTGTTAATATGTTTTTTTATCATTTTATTACCTTGGCTCTGACTTGACGTTCGAGAGACATGTTTGAGTTTGTGTGTTTTAGCTTGTTTAGTTTTCTACGTTTGTATTTTAATCTCGCAGGCTGAGAGCTAACTGATTCGACTGAAGGAATCGCGGCACTTATATTGCCGCCGTCAAAATGTTTTCCACAGGCCCCCCCGCTCGTTTCTTTGCAGTTTCGCTCACTATGAAAAAGTCGACACCTACGCCGCACATGCGGCAACTTTTCGTTTCTATTCGACGCCAAACGATATTCATATACAGTATTTGATATTTGGATTTATTCGAACGCGTCATCGATTCCTTAAGTATGCATCATAATCTAAATTTTATTACATACCAGCTGATCGAATGTCCTTAAACGATAAGCGGACTAATATTGCCGCCCGATATCCAATTGCAGATTAAAAAAATTGCTGTCTGTAAACAATTTCTGTCATAATCACAATATTGTTACAAATTTCTAATAAGTGTAACAAATTTTTAATATATTTGATACAAATTTATAATTACACAGGCCCACATAAAAGTGATCTGTTGGTGGTTTTTCAAAGTTTTTCTTTAACGCTGAAATCAAAATTAAAGTTCAAACTGCAAAAAAAACGAAAAAAGTTAGTAAAAACAACCAAAAACATTTACACCAAGAAACTTCTTCCATATAGCTGGAGTTATACATTTAAGTTTCTTGTTATCCTGGTGCTTCTCAAATCGGGTAACCATGTTATGGCATGTACCACGAACAACATAAAGCACCCATTTTTTAAATTGAGAAAAGCTTCCATATTGAAATATGTAATTTTTACTAAGAGTTTACAATAATTGTTACAAATTTATAATTACACAGGCCCACAAAAAAGTGGTCTTTTGAGGGTTTTCCAAAGTTTTTCTTTAACGCTGAAATAAAAATTGAAGTTGAAACGGCAAAACTCGGAATAGATAAAAAAACAACTAAAATTATTTACATCAAGAAACTTCTTACATGTAGATGGAATTATAAATTTAAATTTCTTTTTGTCCTCAAATTAGATAGCCATGTTATCACATGAACCACGAACAACATAATGCATCAATTTTTTTTAAATTGAGAGAAACTTTCATATTAAAATATGTACTTCTTATAAAAAGCCAAAACCCTTTTCTGTGAGTTTCTTCATATCATCCCAATGTACTTTTTACAAATGTAGCAAAAAAAAATTGAGTTTTTAGAACATTCATAATCGCCCCAAATACATTCAAATGAAATATACAAAAAATCACATACAGAGTTATGGCTTAACATATTATTATTATTATAACAAAATCACCAATTTATACTTACGTTATGAACAATTCCTTTATTGAAAACTTTTGATCCAATTTAAGATATATCACATCACCTTAGTATTGTTCACTTGAATATAAATGTTTCCGCGAATTTTATTTTATGTGTGAGCTTTAGTTTTTTACGTAACAAATTTTTGTCAATCAGCGCAAAATTTCTATCACCATCATGCTAATTAGTGAGTGCCATGAAAAATGAATATTTTGAGCAAAATTGATATACATACATATATATATATATATATATATATATATATATATGTATGTATATATATACGAGGTGTGTTCAAAAAGTACCCGGAATTACTAATAATTAAATTTCGCGGGTCTGGAGTGTCTGATTGTCAAAATTTTTTTTTTATTGTGTTGGTATACATGCCCCTAAAGTATGATGAAATTTTCAGCTATATTCACTGTTTACTTTGTCTGTGGTAGTCGCTAAGGTTCGACGTGTTTTTCTGAGCTCGGCGATTTTTACAATGGAAGAATTGAAAAGTCAAAGAATTTGTATTAAATTTTGCGTAAAAAATGAAATAAAGTGTTGCAAAGTGCAAAAATTCACCAGATATGGCTCCGTGTGACTTTTTCCTATTCCCAAAGTTGAAGAGACCCATGAAAGGACGGCGGTTTTCCTCGATTGAAGAAAATCGCTGAGAGTGCTCAAGGACATATCAAAAAGTGAATATCAAGGGTGCTTCGAAAATTGGAAAAAACGCTGGCATAAGTGTATTATATCTGGGGGGGACTACTTTGAAGGGGACCACATTAATGTAGACGAATAAATAAATATTTTTTTGAAAAAACGAAAATTCCGGGTACTTTTTGAACAGACCTCGTATATATAATCAACCATAGTATTTCACCTAAACATAGCATAATTAGTTATTTGAAAAAATGATATAACTATATCTCATTTAAACCGGCGTAGCCTCAAAATATTTCAAATATTCTTAAATGGAGGATATGATTTTAGTTTTAGCAACGATTTAATTAGCCAAATTGCTCTTTCATATGTAGAATAGAGTAGAGTCACCACTATTTGTAAAACAAGGGATGTATGAGATTTTTAACGATACTATTTTAAAGTACAAGGCAAAAGATGTGTAACCAGCCATCACTCTAATTCTTCCGACGTGGCTATCAGAAGATAAACGGCCATATTAAAAAAAAGTTAGTAGATTTGTTGGCTTTGATCTATTTTATTTAGTTCATAATACCAGTGTATAATTATCAGGTATACGTTATTTAATTGTTTTGTGGAATTATTAGGTTAGATTCAACAAATTTTTATATAACCTCTATCAAAACTTGCATGTGGGTGAGGTTAAAAGGATCAACTAAACCTTTACACCGACAAAGGTGTAAACACTAAGAAAATAGTAAATTATGTTTAAAAAGCAAATTTATTAGATAATAATTTTAGATAGCAATTTTACTAGAAATAAATTAAATTAATAGTTATTCAAACCAATTAATAGTTTTTCAAGCCGATAAATATTTTTGTCAAAACACCAGATCATGGTTATATACAGTGTTGTCATTGTAAAAAATGTGCTGATTAAATTTTTATTTTGTATTGGTTAAATAAGTTAGCTATTATTTTGTAAAATCCCTTTGAAATTAATAATAAAATAGTGTATCAGTATGTCTAATGAATGTCCCTTTTTAGACAGCTTATAAGGTGACAAATTGCTGAAAAATAGCAAAAAAATGTACAATGATGACTTAGCTGGAAATTTGACTGATCATAGGTAGGTTGTTGCTTGTTTGATATGTAATATTTGTTTTGGTATACTTGGTTTGGGTTTCACAGTATATTTTCTAAAATTCCAACTGGACCTTTGTGCTCCGCCCTACAATAAAGTCAAATTGCAGAATTTCGAAACAAAGCACATGAGCATTCTATAATTCTGGTTCTGTGGGTCTTCCATAGACATGCCGAAGAAATATCGATGCTTCTATCGACATGCCATATCGATAGAAGCGAATTTTGGCCAAATTGTTTTTTTTTTCAAATAATTAAATATACATTTATGTATAATGTATTGTAGGTGTTGAATCGAAAATTTGTATGCAAGAACTTTTAGAGTCGTAAATTCCATTTCTGTCATTTATTTTCACGAATTATTACCAACGTCAATATTCACTTTTTTAGATTTGTTGGTCTTGTGTTTGGGAAAAATTGATGAAAATATTAGGAAACTTGACAAATGATTATCCCACAAAAATGAAGCCAAATTGTATATATATATATATATATCCATTTATAAAAATATATATTTCTATTCTATTAATAGGTAGAATTGTCATCATTAAAATTATGCGACTGCAATTCGATTTGGTTCAGGTTCACCTGGTTGTACGCGTCCACCTACAACATCTAAACTTAATTATAGAACGACGTAACTTTGACCGTGAAATATTTATATAAATAATAAATTTATTGCTTAAAATTTTGAGACCCCACAATATCTGCAATAACAATTATATTTATTCGTTAAATTAATTACAATGCAGAATTTATTTCTAGAATGTATTTTTAATGGTGCCATAAAACTAATTAGATTATTTCGTCGCCAAACAATGATCAAGGAAATAAATCTCACAAATTACATTGTGAAACTAAATATAAATTATGAAGCAGGCAGGATCCGATCTCACCCACGATAAATAATATCGAAATTCGTTTTCAACCTTGAGCATTCGTACACAAGCCACTCTTCTTAATATATATAGGTCAACACATTGAAATTACTTCCAACGTGTAAGAAGTTTTGATTTAAATTTAGCACGATCTAAAAAGTTAAGATGCCGCGAAATAGAATGGTAACGCCTCTGAGTTTTTCAAAGCACTTATCAATGACCGAGTAGATACTTTGATGTCAATAGTGAGTCTCAACGCGTGCCCCCCAGAGACACTTTGGGGCCCTTTAATAAATCAATAAATAATAGACATACTCGTATATTATCGAACTATGAATTCCAAGTCAAACCAATAAAGTTACAAACTTGCCAAAACTAGAATTAACTTTCTTTCATCATCAGTGCTAATTTATGACTTGCTATCACAGGGCATCAGTGTTTATATGAAAAAATAGTGAACTTTTGTCATAAACAATGCTGATTTATTAACTTTTCGAAAAGGAAGTTTATGTTCATGTTTTCGTTTGAATCGCTGATTTCATGTACAAGTCATTCTGAATCGTTTATCATCAAAATTGTAAAAAGCATGTGTGTGTATGTGCATGTGAGCCAAAATTTGACACTTAGTCTCACTAACCTAATGCACCAATTTTAACAAATTTAAAAGTCATTTGACTAAACCAAATCAGACTTAAGATCAGCGCAGCTAATTCTTTATAATTAGCAAATAGGAGCACAATTTTTCGCCAGCCATTTTTAAACCGTTTTTAAAAATTCAAATTATCAGTTGGGAATCGTGCTGTTTAGCTTCAAGATAAGATCGATCAAGCCGTTTCTTCAGAATTAATTGTGAAAAATAGTAGCATAGTAATAGAATTCGTGGTCTGATCAGACGCCCCAAAATATTATAGGCCTATTAAAACTGGTTAATTCTACAAATTTTCGAAAAATTGGCCATGACATACACTGTGCATGTATTGAGTACGTGTTCATTTTTTGTTCACTAATATATATTAGTTAAACCATATACAAAATATCTATCATGTTTGACAAACTTATATAAAATTGAATAACCTGCAATAGTTTCTAAAATTATAAATATCTACAGCTATTGAGTTGATGCCTTAATGCAGCTGCCTTAAGGTAAATTTCACTTACG